GTAGTAGTAGTAGTAGTAGTAGTAGTAGTAGTAGTAGTAGTAGTAGTAGTAGTAGTAGTAGTAGTAGGAGTAGTAGCAGCATCGAATCATATCAAACAATGTTAATCTGAGCATACGCATACAAACGTCACATCGCAAAGTACCAACAGGCGTGGCCAAACTCGTACCATCGTACCATGTTCTTTTTCCTGCCATGCTGCTTCACTCTGTGTCAATGAGACGCGTGTTTGGGGGTAGGGCCCGGGGACCACACGCTGCAAATGGAAGTGTGTGTTTGTCAATGTGATTGTTCAACTAAGATTGGTGACACCTGTGGCACTGTTGAATTGTCACAGGTTTGAGATGCATGCGATTGCACCAGTGCCTGCTGCCTATGGCCTGCAGCCTAGGCCTCTCAGCATCTTGCGGTTGCCATGTCCGGCGATTCAAGGGTTCAACTTTGAGACGCTAGCAAAGCTGATGGCAATGCTTGTCGATGACAACAAGGGAGTGTTGAGTGCCGACAACCTCTACTGGTTGCAGTCCGGTGCAGCGACTGCAACTGATGCGTGGCAGTGGGTCCTGTCCGACCATCGTCGACGTTGTACAGCCAAACCCCAAACAGCTGATTGCTCTCATTCACAAACAGTGGTCCACAGGGTGTCCAGTGGTTAGGGTAGTAACAGTTTGAGATACTGACGGGGCGGCGCTTGCGAGAAAGGGTGGAATTGCGTTCATTAACCCTTTTTAGGATTTTTAGGGCAGCGTCCAGAGTGCCTGAGAGTTGTCGCCTTTAATTTTTTTTCCGGCTTTGAGATGTTTTGAGCTATTCCCTGCAACCAAGTCAATTGAATCATAATATATATATATATACACCCACCAAAGGCGAACTACATGAGTGTGTTGCACGAAGGTAAATAATCCTCCTCCAATGATATCAGAATGCAATCTGGCTGCGCCATGCCTAAGGTCGTCATCTTCTGCTGAGAGATGTGATGTGACGTTGCGGAGAGCCTGGGAGCCTGGAAGGTGAGAGTCAGTGGCTGTTTGGGAGACTGTTGAATGCGGTTTTCCCTGTTTTGGCGAGTGTGCTCGGTATTGGTATATTTTGGAATATTGGCTTTGATATCATCAGAACAGTGCGGCAGTAACTAATGAATAGTACAAGCGCCGATAAAAGTAAGAGCTGGTTGCTAAAGCTGGCATCTATGCATTGTCAAATATACAAGTTTGATGTACTGAGACCTCATGCAAGTCAGTCTATAAATTGCTTGTGCAAAACATTATCATTTCTGAGGTCAGCCATCTTCGCTTGGTTTGTGCGTGGCCTGAGTAGGCAAGAGGTGCCCTTTTTGTTGCCAACAACCTGGTGGGCGGAAGGTGTTTGATCAGTCGATGGCTAGAAACTACCCAGATCAGGTCAATAGAAGCTTTCCATATTTCAGACATGCCTTTCTTTTCCCCACCGAGCTTGTTTGGAGTCATGTATTTGCAATTGGAAATTCACAATTCATGGCCTATGAGCGAAGGTCATGGGTAAAATACAGTGTCGCATGCGCTGCAGCGGTAGTCTGCTGGTTGTCTTACGTTAGATCCTGATGTGACTCTTTGTGAAGCAAAAACAAAGAGCGCTTGTGCCTGTTCAGGTCATCTCATCTCAGGTCTTGCATTGCCTGAGCTTTTAACACTTTCAGCCAGCTGAGCTTATCATTTTGCAGGTCATCGTAGGTCTCAAGTGGCTAGGGGGCAACTTGAATCTTTCTGTGCTATATAGCAATGGGGCGTGACCGTGACAAGAAAGAGAAAGAGAGTAGGGGTAGTAAGGACAAGAAGGGTGAAGACAAAAAGAGCAAGAAAAAGGACAAAAAGAAACGACGAAGTCGCTCAAGCTCATCATCCTCCAGTTCAGACGAAGCAGAGACTATCCTTGCGAATGCAGTGGCTTCAGCTTTTGGGTTGACTCTAAACGTGTATTAGTTATGGCCAAGGGTCGAGTCAAGGGTCGTTTGGTTTTGGTAGGCAAGTGCCTGTCAAGTCAGGTGTTGAGGTCCCCCTTTCTTTCAACCGAACAAGTGGTGAGTCTGATGTGTTAGTGTGGACTCCTTGGTTTTGCAATCTGTCTGGGGCAATCGTCGTCGCCAAAGCTTAGGAAGCCAAAGGCGCTCATCCTGGGGTCGAAGGTGCAGAAAGTTGCGGATCTGAAGGTGTACCATGTGGCATCAGTTTTGGGTCGACAACACGCATCGCTGACTGAACAGTCATTGATGCTGCTGGGCGGTGAGTGGTTTCATATGAAGAAGCATGCCCTAAGCTCCCTGAAGCTTTCGGAGCAAGATCCCGAAACACTCAAGGTTCGTGTTACGCTAGCCTCAGATTTGGCCATTGCAGAGAAGAGATGGAGGGATCGACTTCTTGCCATCCTAGAGAAAGGCATGGTTCCCAAATTGGGTTTGAACGATGGTAAAATGCTTCTGCTTTCATTTCATAGAATTTCCATGAATTTCCTTCAAAATGTGTTGCGCACTGCATGGCAACTGTTCCAACCTGCAGTGGCCGGGATGAATGACATGAGCGTCATCGGGCAGCACAATTCCATCACCTCGATTCGAAGGCTTGGCAAATGGTGGATGTACAGCAGTCAAACACATCTTTACACTTCCTCATTTCCTCATTTGCATGTGCTCTTGTTTGCTGATGCTATATAAAAGCTTAGCTGTGCCAGTCTTTGTGGTTGTTGCTAGACAATGCACCCCTGTATATACTATATACATATATTTTTATACAGTATAAATATATGGATACCACTATCTCATCTAACGAGAGTCTGAGTAGGCCTTGGCCTACTGATGCTAATAACTATATAACCACTACGACGACTACTTCTACTACAGGAAGTCTGTTGTGTGCTCTTGAGGGCTGTGGCAAGCGAGATTGAGCAGCGCATGAACGACCCTGAGACCAAGCTCCAGTGGACAGTGGAGCTGAAGCAAATGGTTACGGACTTCAAGAAGGAAGCCAAGAAGGACTTGGACAAGGAACCCTCCGGTCGCAGTCGCTCGTCTACTCGGGCACCTTCTTCGAGTGGAAAGCAGAAGAAGTCTTCTGGTGATGAGTCAGACGGCAGCAAGACGTCCAAGGCAAGAGATTCAGGACGCATGAAAGTCTTCAAGCCCAGCAAGCACGACAAGGTGAGGGGTTGCAAGGCGAATAGAATTGCAAGGTGAATTCTTGTTCAAACGTAGGCTAGGGCTCTATGCTCATGACCTGGCATGACCAGCGTCCCTGATAGGAGAAGGATGACAAGGACTGTGAGTCTGACAGGTTTGCAAAACGGCCCCGTCATTTGGACCATTTTGAGCCAGCCCCGTCTGTGGCCAACAGCATGAGTGCGGAGTCTGTGGCTGCTGCTAGCGAGGAGGAGATCTTCAAGTTTTTCCGGCCAGACATTATGAGACTCATTCCACGTCTCAATGACATGTCGTTGTTCATCAAGGTCCTGGTTGCAGATGGCATTGAACCTGGTTGTTTGGTTTAGTAAAGCTTGTTGGTGTGCTGTGTTCGTTGAAGCGGTTTCGGATGCGTTTGGCCTGGGGCATGTAGCCCTGCCAGCTTAATTCACCCAGGACAACGTCAAATGCTTTTTGGAGGCCATTGAATCTGGGTGGACGCCTGTCCAGGAAAGCTGCGGGGCACCTGCTCGTGAAGTCTTGGGATGCATCTCATGGAGGGGCCGTCGTGACGCTCAAGAGTTTGTCAAGTATGTGCGCCAGAACATTGCCACATGGTCAATTAGTATTGAACATGTTTTCTTTGGAGTGATGATGTTTGATCTCAATCAGAGCCTTAAAACCTGGGTGTTCTTTTTAATGTGTATGGTCTAGTTCCTGCCTTTCCTCTTCTTTCTCTGTTCCTGCATTCATCCAGGCTGACTTCAAGTCCAAAATGGAGACAGGTCACAGGAGTTCTTCTCCAACTGACCTGTCGCGCAGCTTCGACAGTGAGGCGACAGTGAAGCTGGGTGAGCAGGAGGCATATCTCCGCCGCGTGGCAGAACGGCGAGAGCGGCGCAATGCAAGTCCAGCTGATAATGATGCTCCAGGGGAGTCTGAGGTTGTAGAGGACGATCCAGCGGCATCTGAGACAGGGGGTCGGCTTCCCAATGATGCCGTTGGGACTCATCTTTTGGGCAGGATGGAGCGAGTGCCACAATCCCCCTCCTCTGGATCTGACTGAGTGAAGTTTTGGAATGTGTCGCTAGGTTGGTCAGGGGTCATGTCTCCAGCGGTTTGGTGTATTCATGTAATGTGTTGTTTATCGCAACTAACTACTAACTATACAAGACATATATTGATAGTTTAGACCCCGGCAAAGAGCCTCAAGGGAGACAGTGACACACCTGGCCTTAATCAATCAACTGGCAGTGGACTTCTCACTCCAAATGCGCAGTTTCCAGAGTGCCAAAAGGATCGATGACATAGGCTTACAGGCTATAAGGCTATAACTCTAGTTACTTACAGGAGTTTTGATACTTGTTTGGGCCACAAACACCAAAATCCCACCAGATCTGGAGGCCAAGTGGCACACATTCAGGGCAAGCAACGTACTCACGACAGGCAACGGACTCACGACAGGCAACGTACTCACGACATGCAACGTACTCACGACATGCAACGTACTCACGACAGGCAACGTACTCACGACAGGCAACGTACTCACGACAGGCAACGTACTCAGGACACACAACGTGTTTTCATGAAAAACTGAAAGAAATGCTACAGCTGAAAAACGAGAAAAGAATGGTCCATGGAAAAGAATGCGAAAGGTTGCAAGAGTAAAGCTACCACCTGAGACATTGTGTGTAAGTCGAACGATCTTTTCAAAGCGTTCTTTTTACAAATCTTAAAGCTCATGGTACCAGTCCCAGGCAACACCTTATTTGCCCTACCCAGATGCAAGCGCCGCTCACTGATAGACGTAAAACGATAGAGATCCTGCGTACATAGGTTGCCAACATTGCTCACGGCAGGGACCGTACTCACAGTAGGCAGCGGTCTCACGGCAGGCATCGTTCTCACAGCAGGCAGCGTTCTCACGGCAGGCATGCGACTGAGTGATCGGTTGGTTGCTCGTGCAGGCCATGATCGCCAAAACAAGAGAGTGTGTGTGTGTGTACTTGTGGCAAATTTTTGGTCCAAAGTCTTGGTGCTTGTTGCCTATTTTTTGTTTGCAGGGGCTTCCCAAATAGTTTTTAGACGTGTAGATATCTCATTGACGATGCCGAAGCGTGCAGCGGCTGATGTTGCGCAGTTGTCCAAGTTGAAACGAGCGAAGACAGTCACGACATTGGCAACTGGAGCTTCGACCAATGACTCGGCTGATGCAGTGCTATTGGTGCCGGACGATGAAGCAGTGAGTGTGCACGGTACTGTCGATGAGGGGTCAGTGTCCGGTGCAAGCCTCCGAACAACTACTGTGATCTCAATCAACACCGGTTTGTTTGAATTTCCGACACGGAAGATTGAAATTCCAGCTTTCAAATACAGCACTCGTCATTCTCCCGCTGAATTAGAGCAGCTGCTGCCGGATTACTACTGGCAAACAGACAGCCAACATGATGTGCTTTGTAGATGCGAGTGCTGCCAGCTGGTGTGGGAGTTGGATGATTTGAATTGAACTCTCACAAATGTGTTTGTAAAGGTGCCTCTGGATTTAATTAGATGAGCCTCTCCTGTGGGTGGGAGGTCTTTGTTGCGGCAACTAATTTAAAGTGTGTACAGCTTCCGTAAATTCATAATTATGTATGATCTGGCCTATAAGGTTCCAAACAGTGCCCACATCCGCTGAGTGCTTGTCAGACTGAGAGTCTATTGCGTGGAATGAGGCTTGAGTCTAGTAACTATAGTATGACCCTGCTGACAAGCATCTTCCTTTGCTGCATATTATGTTGAAGGCTTGAGTTTCTTGCCCTGATCTTGGCTCCAATCCAAGAACCTGCCACTTTGGGGTGTGGTGGCGGGACGGGTTTTCTCCAGTCATGGAGGAACTAAGCAACAGTATGGCAGCGATGTCTGCTCAGGCTAGCCAACCTTTGGTGGTTCCACTTGTTCAATACGTGTGCTATTGTGATGCCGTTCTTTGCGTCGACTGTTTACCCATGGTCGCATGACTCTTGGATGTCTCTCACATGTGCCAGGAGGCATTTGATGAGAAGCTTACACAGATGCTGCGTGATGTGCCTGAGCTCATGACCGACGAGCCGATTGCCGAGATCAAGTGGTATGATGCAGTGAATGATGTGCGCAATACGATAGCTTCTAGGTGGCTTGACATCATCCGACTCAGGTCTCTTGTGCCTTCTTCTCACTTTCAGGAGTTAGTGGACAGAATGAGGCAGAAGATCGAGACTGTCGTGGAGATCCATGGGCAAGAACTTCCTTTCTGCTTGGAGCCTGACTTGGAGTTGGACAAGGTCTCTGATAAGGATACTCCAAACGATCCAAGTGCCGCGACAACAAGTGAGCCACGGAATTCCAGCAGCAGCTCTACTGCTACGGAGCAAGTGAAGATGCTGCCACACACCTTCAAGTTCTTCCAGGTTAGTGCTGAGTGTGTGTGGTCTGTTGTTCAGGCATGGTGTTTGCAAAACCCCTGCATCGACACCCCAAGTTCTGTTTCATTGACTGACCTGCCTTGTGCCTTTCAGAAAGCAGTGTTCTAGAAAGGTAGGGGAAAAGCTAGTGTGTGCAGTGAGATGTAGAGTTCGTGATTGCCCTATAGGTTGACCAGGTTCAAGCTGTGGACGGGTATCGCAACTTCTTTTCATTTGCTGAATGGTGGCAGTTCAAGACAAAGTACACCCAATGGTTTACCAAATCCTACTCAACGACCTGCCTGAGTCTATCAGCATGGCTCGATGTCTCGCCTGGCCATGTGCCTTTGGTATGGCAATTGACGAACATTTGTTTGTGTGTTTGCACATGAGGTAAAAGGTGAATACCATTTCAAAGGGATGAGGTTTGTTTTGAAAAGCAAGGTGATGAGACGAACTGGATACAAGGGCCTAAAGAGATTAGCCTACTGTCTTCCAATTGACGGAGCATCTGCCATGGGTATTTTGCTTACGGTTGGATGTATTCTGCCTTCGAATTCGCTTGGAGCAGAAGCAGTGACAGCTTGCAGAATTCTTTTGGCAGCACTGGAGAGGCATGCCAAGGTCCGCAAGATCCAGGTACCCCTTGCTGATGGTGGCAAATTGTCACTTGAAGCCAATGACGACAATGAGTTCCTCCTGTCTGACCTGAAGTCACTGCACAAAAAACTCGGCCTGAACTATGCCAGGCACAAGTGTGCAATTGAAGTAGGGGGGTTCCGGGGTTCCAAATTCGGAGCGTCAGTAGTCAAACAAGCAACAACTCCACTTTCAGAGACATGATCAAGCAATGTCTTTTGAACACATTCTGCGCAGGTTTGCAGCGAAGCTGCCTCATGCTGAGCGGGTCATTGCAGTGCCTGCAAGTCATATCGTTATGGCCTTGCTGCGGTTGAGGACTTCTGGCTCAAATGAGTGCATCAATGGGGCTTTTCACCTGCTCACAAAGAGTGTCTGTCACAGCTTTGCACAGACAGCAGAGCGCTCAATAGAACAGAAGCTCCTTTCTGAGTGTCCAGATCCATGCGTTTTGGCCCGGGTTCATCCATTTATGAAGAGGGCGACAACCAGGGGAAACAAGAGCCTTCAAATGAGCTTGGTTTCCAGGTGGGTGTCTCGTGGCGGAGGATACGTGTCTTTGAAGGACACCAACCTCGAGAAATTGAACATCGTGGGTAAGCGCTCGACACTAGCAAGTCGCACAGCCGCAGAGTACACAGCAAGGATTTTGGTGAAATCCGCGGAGTGCATGGAGGAGTCGGTGGAGAAATCCAAAGTTGTGAACTTCTGCTTTGACGCTGCAAGGGTGGCCGAAGAACAGGTATCTTTGTTTATGCAACTAAGAACCTGGTATCATTGTGATTTGCGTGTCTCCTATTAAAGTCTACGACCTCCTTTTCGAGCTATTGACACTGAAGCCACCATTTCTCTGGAAAACTTATGTGCTTTTGTTTTGAGGGTCAAAAGCTAAGTGTATGAATCCTGCAGTTTCAGGTACTGAGTGTGATCTTCAGGGCGTGTGGCAAGCAGTTTGCTGGTGCAACTCAGCTTCTACCATCGGGCTTGGGTGTGGACGAGTCTGCCTGTGCTATGGAGAGGTTTGCTGAGGCAGCCAAAGTCCAAATGGGACAGACTGCAGGCCCTGTGAAGTTGCCTTGCAAGAGCTTTGACTGGCGTGAATTCCGCTTGCCAACCAAACAGTTGCTCATGGCTGTGGCGAACGCTTTGCAAGTATCGTTGCACAATGGGTTTTCCTTCAAAAGTTGCAGGCCTCGAACCCTACTAGTGCCACGTAGCCACGAGGCAGACAGGTTTGCTCTGCTGGACACAGAGAAGCAAGCGCTGGGGCTGGGCAAGTGGCCCGCAGATGCCAAGCTTTCCTTTGTGTACCACTATGGTACGCAAAGGCGGTGGCTGGACTTTATGCCCCATGATGACCAGCCATACAAACTCATTTTCAGCGCAGATGAGGGAACTGAGGACAGGGGGACACACATGCAGCAGCGTCAACAGTCACCAGCCATCACCTTCTTAGCTCCAAATTTCTGGAGTGAGTCTAGAGTCTAGACTAGAGGGCAGCAATTTGCAGTAAGGTTTGAACTACAAGAGTGTGTCAGTGATGTTTTCGCTTGGGTGTGCCCTGCCCCTGAGGGGTTCATTGGATATTTGCACTTGGCACACTGTGGGATATGGTGCAACTTCTGGCCAGATATGCTCCATAAACTGGCCAGGAAGGCGTCCACGTCGCTGGTTTCCAGTGGAGCGGATGATGTTGTGAAGAAGCTGAGACGGGTGTTCCAGCTGAGCAGAGGTCCATGGAGTACATCGAAATTCGGAAAGGAGTTGGAGGTTGCCCGTATGCAAATCCTCCGAAGTTTGAAGGAAGGCACCATGGACCACCTGGAGTTGCTCGCGACCAGCAATGTGACCCCTCAAGCTTCGGCCCTTCTGAGTTGATCAGATTGCTTGAGAAGAAGTCAGGACCGTGGATGAGCAAGGTGTTTAGTATTTTAATGTTTTCTTTTGAAATGTTGCCAGCCGCCCGCAATAAATGGCCCAGAGTTTGGTGGGTTTACAATCCTTTGAGGAAGCCTGCACGTCCGCTCAGACGACCACAATGATTCGCGATGGTTTTCTTTCTTTGACCACTCGGTGAGCTGGGACAAAGTCTGGCATGTTGAGGCGCTGGTCCACGAGTTCCTTTGGTTCTCACAAGGCAAGTCCCCGTGGCATCTGAAGCACCAGGAAAAGAAGAAGGAGGAGGATGACCAGGCGGCGTCAGACTTCAGTAGTCGCAAGCAAGCCTTCAACGCCACATGGCTGAAAGGGAGCATTGCTGAAGTAGTCTTCAAGTAGAACATGAGGTGTAGTTCTTAGGAAGAGCTGGTAACTAGAGACAAATTAATGACAGCTAGACATCTACTATTCTATATGTTTTATATAGAATATATATATATATACACATGGAGAGCAAGGTGGCCCAATTGTTTTGTAGCTAAGGGTACTAAGGCTACAGTGCAACTCTTACTTGTCTACTTGTCCTTTGGAGGCCCCTTGTTGGAATTGGAAACAGGAACGTCTTTCGATGGATGCCGACCTTTGCTCCTGACTCAAGAACTGTCTGTTGAAGAATGGAGGTGTGCACATGCTGCCTGTGCAGTGCAAACAGGGGACAAAAAACACGGTGTGGGAACGTGATGCTTTGGTTTGACATTGGGTGAGTGTTGAATTGTTGACCTAGGTGCTGGTTGATGACACGTGTCAGGATCTAATGAGAAGCATCATCCTTTGCTTTCGACACATGAGAGGCTTTGCGAGTCAGTATGACGCTCTTCTGCAAGAAACGAGAATGATACATCAACCAACTTTCCCATGACAAGTGTCCTTGGACTAAGTATCCCACCTTTAATTCTTGGGCTCCCTTGATCACAAATCTACAAAATGCTGGCGTGCAAACATCAGCTCGACCATCCTTGCAAACACTCACAAACCTAACCTGCAACCGTTTTGCACCCTCACTGACAACTTACTGTCAGTCAACCTTGTGAATCATGGGGACTCTACGTGGGGGACTTGGTATGCCATGCGTCTCTTTCCTAACAAAGTGTTAAACATCTCAGCCCAACATGCGTTGTGGTGTCAATCAATACATACCATGCTAAAGAGTGCAAAACAAAGTGTCCTTTAAACCAAGTGTCGTTGTGGCACGCTACTGTCATCTTGAATTAAGTATTGAATGTATCATTGTTCCTTTTTATTATACTTCTGGACGGCGCCAATGATTCCAGTTAAAACATGTTTTACAAGTGCTCCTGAGTGGATGAATGTCTGTCTAAGTACAGTGAGTCTTCATGGGGCTTGCTGTGCATCTTGGTCAGGACAAGGACATTCAGCGGGATGCGACAGGCAGTGTGAAGCATGCCATCAGCCTTGCGTCAGGCAAAAGAGTGCGAAAGCTGATCCAGACTCGATCTTAATTGCCTTACTTATTATCCGTTACCTTGCTTGTGGCGAATGACAGGTTCGAGCACGCTTTTAGTGTTGCTTTCTGAGGAAGACCATTTTGGAATGCGTGGAGCAAACAGCGTTGGAATACATCAACGCTGTTGGGGATGGGCCAGAGAATCAGGAAGTCATGACCTTCCATGCCAACCTTCTTCTCTTCCAGATCTCAGCTCTAAGTGAGGTCCAGTCCTACCACCGTGCGTTCCCTTGGCGTTTGGTGGAATGCTTGGATCCAGCATCCTGGGCAACTGTACTTCCTGCAATGAAGGATCTCTGGTACTTCGTCATTAACATGGCCGATTGCTTGAAACCAAATGACAAGCTCTACTGGATAGTCCAGGTGACTCGCTTCCAGCCCTTCAGAGATGTCATGATCGCTGGCGAGTTGCTTGACCCAGTGCTTCTTATGCTCATTTCCCCTGGATGTTACACTGCCAAGTGTCAGTATAGGGAGGTAGTTGTTTGTCATTAGCTGGTTCATCCCTCCTCCTTTTGCAGCACTATATAGTTTGTTTGAGGTTCATAGACTTTGACGTGCAGCGGATGGGTTCGCCTGCCAGCCGCCCCTTGCAAGAGAACATCCTTGCAATCTGCGGGCTTCAAGAGGCTGGTGCGCCCACTAGCCTTTTGAGCTCGTTGCCTTCAGAGCTTGCTTTCAACAAGCTAAGAGATGCAGCCAAAAGGCACAGCAAACAAGAGAGGTGTCAGCCCGCAGCGCTGCACTCTGTGGCTTGGAAAGCCAGTGTGAGCCATGTGTGCGGATGTGAATCCCTCGAGCTCACAGAGGAGGACTGGGCCGTCCCCATGAAAGCGTCCCAGATCAAGGTGTCGGTGCATTCCAATATGAGATCGTCTTGCTCTGACATGGGGATTTCAGTGGAAGGCCTCACGAGGCACAAGCAGGCCAACCAGTACACCAAACCTCATATTTGGACTGCTCGCTTGGAATACCTGGAGGTGCTGTCAAACGCCTTCAAAGCCGCAGAGGGCACGATTGAGGACAAGCGAGTGGCAGTGACAAAGATGCACCAACTTTCGTGGCTGTGCAAAGTCTTGCCTTGCATGTGGTTCCTCAAGCCCAAGACAGAGGAAGCGGACATTCCTCACGAGTCGTTGATCATTGTCAAAGCTGGACCATTCACCGCCCGATGTGTGAAGCTCTCTACACTTGGCGACAACTGGTACCGGCTTCAAAGCAGCGATCCTTTGCATGAAGTGATTGTGACTGACCTCGACCAGGTGACATTGGCTCAGGCCACGCCTGACATCCATGCAGGAGCTCTGGCGTGGGCCAAGACAGGTCCATGGCTCTCGATTGTGGACTTCGTTTGTGACCATGGCATTGAGAATGTTGGAGCTCAACTGCTAATTTCCCTTTGTGCGCTGCTCAAAATCCCTGGCCACAGCAAACTTGATCACAAGCACCGAGTGGAGCTCTTTCTGAAGACTTGCGGTCGATCAGAGGAGTACGTGGCGCGAGTCCTTGAGAACTTGCCGGAGCCAAGGAAAAGAACAGCAAAGGAGTCAGAGGTGCCAAAGTGTTTTCAATTGCCAATTTGTTTCAAACTATATATTTTGAACTTTTTGTGGGTTGTCAGATCCCTTGAACTCGACTTGTGCATCTTCCTTTTGTTCTTGGCAGGTGGAAGAGATGGACGCAGATGACAACATGCAGGGTGAATCAGATGACGAGGCCATTTCTGTGATGAAGGCTTTTTTGGACGAGGACCTTGGCAACAGTGGTGCAGCTGATGAGAATCCAAAGACAGCCGGTGATGTCTCTACGCCAGAGGCAACCGCTGATGTCCCTATGCCTGAGGCAAAGGATGATGCGTCGGTGAAGGCCGCCGGGTTCAGATGGGTATATATATTATATTATATTATATATACATATCATCTTATGTATAGGGACCTCATGGCAAATCCTAATAAATAGTCCCCACAAAGACAAGAGTTCCACATCAGATGAACAACACCATTAGTTTTCTGGCAGTGCAACTGATGGTCATTCCTTCTGTTTGTTTTCATGGCACGCATCTTCTCTTTGGATGAGGTAGAATTAACCTGTTCTTGTGTGCCCAGGAGCAGAGAGCAGATGTGGGCATGCCTCACGCACATGGAGTGGCGAGGGAGCATCCAAGCGGAGAGTTTCCTCCAGGGGTAGTGTGCTATCGAAAGGAACCGCAAAATGCCAATCCTCTGTTGCAAGCCTGGCTTCCAGGCAACTTCAAGCATGAAAACAAACGCAGCAAAGCTGTGTCTTTTTTGAATGATGGTGGTGTGACATTAGTTCGGGGCACAACTAGAACCTACGCCCAAGCTGAAAGGATTTGCTTGAGCTGGGCATGGAGTTGGTGGGACACACTAAGTGTGGAACAAAAGTCCGCCATACAAACCTCAAGTTCAGAGCCTCCTTCCAAAAAGCGGAAGGTTAACTAGAAAGGATGAAACCTGAGACTCCTGGGGGTGCAGGAAAAGGTGCGTGTGTGAAGTTGTGGGAGCCATTGCTCTTTTAATGGAAATCATGAAAAGTAGGGACAGCTATACAGAATGCGGGAAGTAGCACTAGAAGTGTAAGTGTCGAAGTGTCAGTGTTCAGAAGTGTAAGTGTCGAAGTGTCAGTGTTCAAAGGATTTTCCGGAAGAACCCTTCGCAATGCTTTCGGGAAAAAAACACAATATTATAATAGTATATAATAGTTATATATAACTATATACATATATCATCATCGGTCCAAGGCCTTCTGTTCAGCGCTGTAAGGGGCCATGTTTGTTTCTTTTGGGGGGGCCATGTACGAAATCGATGCCTTCGATCCGATCGGTCCAAGTGGCCGTGACACAGAGACCCGTGACTCAGGGGGCGCATGGTAGGAAGGGTGGTCAATGTAGTGCTCTTCCACAGAGCTGGTCGACCCCATGGCGAGCCGCTCCGCTCGGGCGCCCCCCTATGTCGGTGACATCATCTTGGGAGAACCAACGAACATGATGTGTTTAGATGTGTTTAGATGTCATTTACTGATTTTGTTCTGCTTGTGAATCTTGTGAATTGTTGTTTGTCTTGTTCCACGTGTGTCCCATTGCATTAGCATAGATGCTAATGGACCATCTTGCTCGTCACAACCATGTGACAAAGAGTCATGTTTTTGTCCAGGCCGTGTAGCTCCTGTCTGACCTGTGAAGCTGGAACCTGCATGAACGGTCAATGGTCATTACGTTACCAATTCACAGTACTTACACCCAATCAAGACACATTCAATGAGTCAAGCAAATTGTACAGGTCACTCATCTATGCCTAAAAGGACGTATGATGATGTATGATGTGTTCCTGAGGAATCTGAAGAAAAAGCACTCTCTCTTCAACGTGGGACATTCTTTGGATTGGTCGCTGAAGAGAGCATGGTTGGTTGCGGCGCAAGATGGTTTATTGATTTATTGATGACTTCCGTCGATGAATGGTAACATACTCTGCTACCAAAGCACTGAAAATATATCAAACCACATAAAACCATGAGCAGGAGAACCCTCAACAGGCGCACATCCCTTCAGGTGAGAGGATTTGCCTTTTCCAGTGAATGTGCAAGGAGCTGTAATGTCATTTCAATCCACATCAACAACCGGGCTAAGCTACACGGCACAGCGGAATCCCTGCAGAAGCGTGGTCTCGTCGCCGAGACCGAAGGCGCGAAGCCGATGGAGATCGATCCCCACGGTGCGGTTCCCCGTGACCCGTTGCACCTGCTCTGGACCCTGCAGATCGCAGGATCCGGGTGACATGCACTCGCCAACCTGGGTGGATGGAAGCGCACGAGAAGCCATTTTTTCCTGACCGAAAGCCATCATACCCACCCCAAAAAGCACGTCGTCATGCCGTCCCTCGTTTCGTGACACAACCTGGCTTTTGCGCCCACTTTCTGCCGCTTTCTTCATGAAATGTTCAACAAAAGCCCAAAGGCATGCGTTCTTGTTGCTCCATCTCCAGATTGTGGAAGACCAAACAAATCACTCCCATCTGGAACAGAGTCTTAGAGTCTAAGACTGCAAACCATCCACCCGTCTTCCCCCGTCTTCCACCTCGCTACCTCGCCCCTACCTCGCCCCGTTCGCCAGCCGAACCCAAGTGGCGCTTGATGCACTCGGTCACGGAGCTGGAGTGCTCCTCGTCCCGTATCGCGGCGCCTCGGCGGGAGGGGTTGCCCAACGCCTCTGGATCGAAAGGATTCAACGCTGCTGTCCAAGTTCAAACGGTAGATCTATATTATATATAATATATATATATATATCAGCGCCGATTTGGGGTAGATCGTTCAGTGGTGGATGGGAATCCAGGCGTTAACAGTCCAAGTAGGTTCATAGTACATAAGGCCTAAGAAGATGTGACCAGGAAGTCTCCTCTCTGCGAAGTCGGGGAAGAAGTCGACCGAACTGGCAAACGTGCTTTTGTCGATGTGTGAAATGGATGAAATCGAACAGGATTTCTGGTGGATGTCGTGTGAGTTTGTTAAAGCATGGGCGCAATGGGCCAGATTTGTTTTACATTGTGTTCCTCTACCTGTCATGCCCAAATTGATTGATCACTCGACCCAGATGTCAATTGGAGCTATTGAAGACAAATGATCTTCCATTGAGTGTTTTGGTCTGCTGTGAGGAAAGAAAATGGTTCAGGGTCAAATTCGAACACCAGAAACAATAGTACATAGATACAACAAATTCTTATATATGAAGCGTACCGTATTCTGTTTATCGCTGGGATGTTGCTTGAAACATCACCCGGTTTCACCGGCGCATCGAGCTTCAATCTTAATCCGTAGATGCACAATACACTCCCAGACACGACCCATGGGACTGCCATATATGCCGATCAGTTGGGGTGGTTGACTGGGGGGTCAATGGGGCGGCATATATTCCATACATGGAGTGTCTGGGACTGACCATTTACTGTAACACACCCCCTTTCCAAAGGCGTCTTTCCATGAGGATGCCCTCTATTTCATCTGACTCGACCGGCTCGTAGATCATCAAAAGTCCCTGCGTCAATCACAGGCTCGCAGTCCCAAGAACAGCATGACACATGCTCTTGTCAAGCAACCTTGACTAGAAAAAAGATGAAACAAGAACAGTATGGCTTCAATGGCTCGGCTACTCCGCATAGTAGTAGATAGCGGCAAACTTGTTCCGATCAGGTTTAAATAGGCAACATGTGCCTGCTGGCCGCCCTTAGGCCCAGCGCTTCAACACTTGAGAAAGCATGTTCAAACGAAAGCTCTGCTGCCTGATATTCCAGAGCCACAGCCACAGTTTTTGGAGTCGCTAGTGCAGGCTGGCACGAAGGGGTCTAGCATCATAAATGTCTAAAATTCATCCACTGTGCAGTCTTTGCCACGAAACAAATAAGAACTGTCCACCTTTCGGCTAAGCTGCATTCAAAGGCCCTCATGTAGACCCGATATGCCTCGAGACTCGCGCCGAAATACCAGACGCTTCTCGGTCAAAGTGGCTTAAAGATGGGGATGCACAAGCGAAACGGTTCATTTGATGTCATTGGTCCTTTTTCAAAACACGCAATCAGGTGAGTTCGTCGCGGCTCTTTGAGCCACCATATCCTTCTGCCATATCATCCATGAGGCTATGGAAAGTTCTCCCAAGTGACTTCCCACTGGGATTCATTCCTGGGTCACAACTGAAATGTGGCTGGTGGTCGAACAACATGGCCGACTCAAGATTCTTCAGCCAGACAAGATTTCGCACCATGTCCCATAAACCCCCAGAGTCAGAGAAACATGACCCAAGAACACTACTCACCAACCTCTAGAAATGGGACATACTCACCGTTTTGTGTTTTCATGTGTTTTCCCACCCTTGTAGCCTGTCTAGAAACGAGCTCACTCCCATTCCCCTCACTCCCCAGATCTTTGATGAACTCCCAATCTTCCAGATCTTCATCCGTGCGCTGCCTCGATGGTCCTCATCAAATAATCATAGTCGCGGCAGAACCAGACCGCTTTCTCCACAAAGCCCCTGGGAGCGCGACAAACACGGGTATGTAGTTGAATAGAGAGAGAGACACCCTGTCTGACGCTTTGTATCTCTCTGGCAGGATTGGCACAACCTCTTGGCGTTGAACAAAAGGAAGAATGCCTTAATCCCATTTCAACCGTTAAAAGCTTCTTTTCCTGGCCCAATTTTGGGCGTGAAAAGGACCAGTGAGCGAAGCTGTAGCCAGAACATGAAGTTCCACCATTAAGTAAGTTCAAGAGGTTGAACTCCACCAAAAAGCCCACAACCTGGGACACTATTGTGATCTATGGTACGGTACATTGAACTTGTGAAACTGCTCATTTCCATAAGGGAGATTCTCATTACTGTATCGTATCTCTTTAAAAATCTTTAACATGTTACAGTCAGCTATCGGCAAACACTTCTCGCACTTCTCGCACCCACCAAGATGTGAAACAAACCCGAGCCAGATTCCAAAAAACACCATGTCTCTGAACCCTCACAAATTCCTCCATGCATGACCCAAAAAATAAAACATCAAGCCACTCCCGACACTGGACATCAGCTTTCTCCAAAGCATCGAGCCTTTCGACATCTACATCTCCTCTCTCCCCTTTTCAGTGCCTGCAGGGGTCTGAACAAAGATTGTCTCGCATCTCCTCAGCTCGCAGC